CGCCGCACCCTACACCCCGCACGCCCGGCCCCGGGGCGGCGGCAGCGGCGGCCGCGGCCGGCGTGATTGATAGGGACGGCGGCTGCGAGAGCGGCGGTGGCGGCGGCGGAGCGGTTGAGTGACAGCTTACCTGGGTGCCAATCTTCATCACACTGACAAGCGGCTGCAGCAATCGGGACCCGCAGTGCCGCGCCCGCGTCCAACCGTCACGCCGACGCCGGGCCACGCGACACAGCCTCGCTCAATGGGAGGAGGGCGACGCCGACGCGCGCCGCATCAATATTCACCGCGGGGGCGGGGCCTGCAGGGGACGGGCCACGCCTCCGCTCAGAGCTCCGTCGGGCGTGGGGCGGGGTCTGAGTAGGGGCGGAGCCGGGCGGGCGGTGGCCAGCCCCCCACCCCGCCTAGCGCCCGCCGCCAGGCCCCGCCCAGCAGGCCGCGCCCTGGCACGAACGGAAAGCCCCGCCTCAAAGGCGGAGTTTTCCCGCCTCTCAGTAGCTTGCAGAGCCGGGCGGAACCATGTGCAGCTCGGGCGCGAGGGGAGCGGGCTCTACCATCGGAGGTCCCAGCTGCACTGGTCTCCCAGCAGCCTCGTTTACGCTAGGTCGCACCCCCTATAGTTGTAGGTTTGCGGCCGCCCTTCTGACCCGGCTCCGGGCCCTGAGTGGGTGTGTGCCTGGGCAGCGCAGTAAATGCACACGTGTATCCCAACCGTGGATGCCTGAGGTCTCTGCCTGGAATCTCAGGCCCCGCGCCACGACTTGCGTCTACACGGGGCTGCTACGGCTGGCCCTGGCCTGCAGACTTCGAACGCGCCTGCCAGCCATCTCGCTTCTGCCAGCCATCTGACCCAGGCGAGCTCCAGGTCCAGACAAGGCAAGGACAGTCCACAGGCAGCCAACCGACACAGCGTGCCCTCAGGTCCCACTGGTGGCCACACGAGGGAGGCACTGGGCTGGCTGGCCTGGTGCAGACGCACTGATTTATGTCCAGTGCCTTCCCAGGCATCATCAGCTGTGCTGGCCTAGGACAACCGCTGACGACAGGTGGTGCCTGAACTCAGTTCAGGCCTGGGCCGCCCCGAGGGCACTAGAAAGTCAAGGGCAGAGTGCCCCGTGGAGCTGTCCAGCGCATGTTGAGAAAGAAGGCTGTAGTGGGCACAAGTGGAGGAGGCCAGGGAGGGCTTGAGCTAAGAAATTCTCAGGGACACAAAAAGCTCTGTAATCAAGACTGCTACACAATTTACAGGGCCTAGTGCAAATGGAAATGTAGAGTCCTATGTTCAGAATTATGAAGCACTTCAAAACAGGAGCACAGGAAGGTAACAGCGATTAAAGTGTTCTAGGGCCAGGGAGATGGCGCAGTAGAACAAGCGCTTCCCTGGCAAGCGCAAGGTCCTGAGTTTAATCCCCAGTTCCGCCAAAATAAATAATAAATAAAATAAAATGTTCTAAGCAGTGTGTTGTGTGACTGATATAGAAAAAATGTAACTCCAAACCAAACCTACTAGATGTCAAATTTGCTGAGTTTATGGTCTTAGAACATTGAGGAATGAAGTTAGGAACCAAAGGTGGAAGTTAGACTTGCATTGGCCATAGATAGAAGAGTAGCTCCTGGAGTCCCAGGAGGGGGTTCTGAGTAGATGGCTTCTGAGGCCCTTTGTCCGGGAAAATTTATTCAGCAAAATACTGGGCACAATGTGGGTCAAACTACGACAACGTATGGGATTACAAGCAATCAATTTAGCTATGATTGATCCATTAGGGAAAGGAGCCACATAGCAGGGCTACATGGAAAGAACAAAGACTTTTTTTTTTGGGGGGGTGAGTCCAGCTATCCTTTCTGGTCACTCATCTGTGATACCTATCTGGATCCCCAGGACCAAGTAATGCTAATTATGGTATAATCTCAAACAGCTGCTATTATGGTATAATCTCAAAAATTCTGATGTTGGTATTTGTTTGTGCTGACTTTCCTGAAGGCCCAATTCCTTTCTCTCTTTTTTGGTACCAGGGATCTAACGTAGCACCTTGTGCTTTCCAGGCAGGTGTGTGTGCTGCTGAGCTATCTCCCTGGTCCCATCTCTTTCTGATGATACAGTATATTTCTATCTAACTTAGCTGTCTCTAATATGACCATCCTGAGCCCTGACCTCATGGGCCTCACCTAGTCCTGACCACTATCTTAACCTTTTGCTTTGGGCCCAGCCAGCCTGTGAAATGGCAAAGGTGTGGCCAGAGGACCCAGGTGTGTGGTCACCCAGAATCTGATACAAACTACTGCCCTGAGGGAGCAATGGAGGCCACCACTGCCCATCCACCATGTAGCCCAGGGAGGTGACCGTCCATCAGCCCGGGTCTATCTGCTCCTTTGCTCTTCCTTTTTGGCACTGTCTCAGGAAATAGAGAATTCCCCATCTGTAATCACTGGTAATTAGGAGATCCACCCTCTGACACATACTTCAAACTTGGGCTTGGAGTTTGGAAGGGGCAAAGTTTTCACTGGCTTTCTTAAGTACATTTTAATTCAAATAACCAGCTATTCTGTCTACTCTAGTCCCAATATGTTTTCTAAAGATCTACTAACAGTGTTTGGACAGAATATTCTGTCTGCTTCTTGTACTATGGATAACCACTAAGAAGATAACAATGTACAGTGTATTGACTATCAAAACTATCCTATTAATCAGCTGTGAAACTGTCTCATTCATATTTATTTCTCAATAAAAAATATTTTAAAACTAATAAAAAATTAAGATCTCTTATTTTCTCAAGAATCATGTTTAGATATATGAAATAAAAAGGCACATATATAAAGTAATCCATTTGTTTAGTTTTTTTTTTCTTTTTTCTTTTTTTTTTTTTTTTTTTGTCTTTTTGAGACAGGGTTTCACTATGCAGTTCAGGTTGGCCTTGAACTCACTGTGTAACTCAGGCTGGCCCCCAACACATCAATTCTACCTTACCCTCCGAGTGCTGAAATTATAGGCATGCACCATCATGCCCAGCTTACAGTAATTCTTAATACAGATGCACACAAATGACTCCCAAGAAGTAACCACTGATCTCAAGTTAATATACATTACTCTCTCACATGTCATAACGCAGCCGCATCATACACTCACAAGTGCTGTACTACACTTCAGCACCTCGAAGCTTCCATTATTTTATATACCATTCTTTTTATGTGTCATAAAAATGCTGCCAATTAAAAACTATTAAACAGTAAAAAAAAAAAAATACAGATACACAAGCAGAATTCCTTCTGATTGCCAGTTGCGCAGGGTACAGCTTGCAGAGTTAAAGAAATGATCTTGGGACTTAAATTCACCACTTATATTTCTCACAAAGTCTGAAAATGTGTCATCATTTAGACATAAACAACCTTATCATTGCTCTCTTTAAACTGTAGTCTGTCTTCTCTAATTTTGCCTTGTGCATCCTCCTTATTTTATTTTATTTGGTACTGGGAATTGAACTCAGGAACTTGCACTTACCAGACAGGTGCTGTGGTGCCCAGTTCCAGGGGATGCACCTTCCCTGTTTGCACCTATTTAATTACAGTATCTGCTATATGTCTCTCCAATGTGATGCTATTGAAGGACGCTCCCTTCGGAGGGATTTGGTTTAGAGGAGGTCACTAGGTTGGGCCCAGGATGGGGCTGGTGGTGTCATGTGGGGAGGAAAGGACCGAAGCGCTCTCTGCCAGGTGAGAACATAACTTAAGGCCAGCATCTGTGATTCAGTGGGAGGGGCCCTCACCCTGATGTCAGACTTCCAGCCTCCAGAACCATGGAGAATAAATAGCTGTTCCTTACAAGACACCAGAGAACCAAGGATGCTGGTGCTGGGGTATCGCTGCAGTGGGCTGCATCTGAGAGGGTGGGCAGGAGAATTGGAGGTCAGCTGGGTAGGACTGGCCCTCAGCCTGGACCATGTCATCCATCTGCTGGAGGCTGTGGTGCCCAGCTGAGTGGCAGAGAGCAGACTAGCTGTGCCTTTAGTCTTCAGCTGTGTTTTTAGATGAATTTGTTGCTTTTTTTCTGAACAGGATCTCTCTCTCTCGCTCGCTCGCTTGCCTTGAACTGGCAGCGATCCTCTTGCTTCTGTCTCCCCAGTAATGGGGTCACAGGTATGCATTACCATTCCTGGCTGGATGAGGTGAACATTTTATCCTGAGTGGTTTCTCACTCAGGATATATACCATGTTTTTCTAATGAAAATATGTACTTAGTGTAGTATTAGCAACTCTATAGCTCTGCTAGGAGAATACTGGAAGCAATCTTTGTGTTTACCCAGTTAGTACAATGAATAGCAAGGTGTACACATGTATGCTGAAGTATAAATAGGTGAATTTTACCCATATAATGCATCATGTTACATTTTTACTTTCATTCCCCCCCCTCCCATTTATGGATTTGGCATAGGGTCTCACTATGCAGTTCAGACTCATAGTGATTCTCCTGTTTCAGCCTCCCCAGCACTGGGATTAAAGGCATGCACCACCACACCTGGGATGGAACCCTGGTCCCTGTGCTTACCAGAGCAGGTGCTTAGTCCACTGAGCTCTCTCACTGGCCCCACCATGTTACATTTTTGTGTATTATGATTTTTAACATTTTCTTTTGATTTTTCTTGTAGAATTAGCCCAATTCAGTACAATGTTGTGTGAAAACCTGCTTGTACAACTTTGGGATGAGGTTGGAAGTGAGTCCTCAGGTGACACAGCTGCTGTGGCTAACTTGGATCATGTGAGTCAAAGAAGTGAGCAAGACTGGTAGGGGACAGAATGCAGACCCTGATTCAGGTGTGGAGGAAAACAGCAATGTAAATAAATATTTGACAACTGAGACTCTCCAGAAGATTTTTGAATCTAGCAGTTAATTGGAAAGATTCTCACCCTGACTAGCTATATATACTGATACCTGTGAACTAAGCAACTGCACTGAAGATGGTAATCTGTAATAGTAGTTTCATGCTTGGAGTGCCTGTCATTCTTGTCTTCTGAATATGGGCTGCTTGTCATGACATGCCAGTTGCTGCTGTGCTGTCTCTTGGGTAGATGGTTGTTCAAAAAGAAGGGGGTGGTGAATGAAAGCAAGAGACAGGAAAAGGAATATTGTGGGACTGTTCTGCTTCAAGGTTGTATATGGTTAGATTTTTGGACTTATGTGTAAACATAAGAAGTATATAATTCTTTATGCCTATTTTTAAAATATATTCTAATTTTAAAAT